TGCGCACGCATGGGGCACGCGGTGGGGGCCCCGCAGGCTGCAGCGGGGGGACCTGCGGGGTGTGGGGGGGCAGCACAGCTCAGCACGGCCCGGAAAGCCAGCACCGACAGCCGGGAGGTTTGGGGGAGGCTTCGCGATTAAAATGGGTCATTTTTCACTAGCTTCTGCCTCCTCTTGCTTTTTCTCCCCCCACTTCCCGCCGCTCCTTCCTGGCAGGTGACCAGCCCGTGTAGGAATGGGGACTCGGATGTGCTGGGGGCCCTCTTGGAGGGGACGGCACCAAGGGCACTTGCCTGGGGCTGTTTTGGGGAAAACTGGAGGGTATGGTAGTGGGGAGCATTTGCTCGCAGACTTCAGGGCAGTGAGGCAGTTGGGGCCCTCAGTTCCCTGCCGTGCTGTGAGTCCATTGCCTCTCTAGGAAGGGCCAGGGCTGCTCTTGGGCCCCTTTGAGCGTTTTTTTTTTTGGTGGAAGGATTTGGGGGCGGGAGCAAGGCTTGCTCAGGGTCTCAGGGAGCAGTACCAGCCATGGGGACTCCTAAGTGGCACTGTGTTTGCAGGGGCTGCGCCCGAGCCTGCTTGCTCCTCAGGCACATGCCGAGCACCAGCAAAAGCTTCATTGCTCCTGACCCTTGGTTGGGTCTCGGTGCTAACCAGGGCATGACCGGGAAGCCAAACCCAGATGCCATCAGCCTGGCATCTGCTCAAGACCCTGCGGAACGAGTTTGGGAGGAATGTGCATGCGGAAGGCGGCGGAGCCCCCCCAGCCCTGGGACGGGCCGGCTTGCCAGGGCTGTCACCCGTGCGCGGCGCGGAGGGCTGAGGAGCTGGAGCCCAGCAGCAGGAGGCAACCCCGGGCGGCAGGGCAGGGGCGAGGCATGCGCTGGCGTGTGCTGCGCCGGGCATGTCACTGTGTTTGCTGAGGGGGAGGCTCTGCGTGGCTGGCCGCGGGCCAGGAGGGGCCATGTGCTGGTAGCCGACTGTGCTGGCACCAGCACCGAGGCCGCTCTGGGACCACAGGCACATCCTTCTGTGGCGTTGTGATGAGCAGACGCATCTCACCTTCCCGGGGCCGTCGCTGCTCCGTCCGCTCCTGCTTCCCGCGTCCTTGCTGCTATTTTTAGCTGTTCGCGTTCGCCTCCAGCGATACTGATATCCATCTTACCCGCTCATCGCCGTCGCTCCCCTGCAACGATGAGGGCTAAATTTAATCCTCTTCCCCCTTGGGCGAGCAAGGTGAGTGCCCGCTCCGCAGCAGCGGCGGGGGG